CAGTCATTCTCATCAAACCAGTCTTGATGTTTCCTGGTAAAGTTTCTCTTTGCAGGTGCTGATGAAGGTGGACTTGAAGGCACCTCAGGCGGTGCTGACATTCTCCCATTGCTGTTTGGAATTTGCCAGTTTTTCATTGAGGCACTGGTGGAAGATATCTTGCTTGACTGGCTCTGTGAGTCCTTCAACACTGACCTTTTGTTGATATTGCTTCTGCTGCAGCCATTGTTAGGGAGCCGATTTGAATTACATAACTGAGCAGATGAGTCAGTGATCGGTTCAGCAATCGTCAGCTCCTAGCGTAGTTCAGGTGATGCAGACATCTTTGTAATCAATGACACAGTCAGTGAGGTGCCAGTGCTTAGATTGTGGATGTTGCCGTGATGTCTTGTGCCTATTTTTCTGGTAGAGCAAGGTGTTGATGATGGTGAGTTCGTGTTCTGTGCATTTGGTCAAAAGAAACATTTGACCAAAGTACAAATTTTGTTCATTTAACCATAGGAGTAAAGCATTTCAGAGAAAAGGACTATAAAGCAGCAAATGGTCTATATGGGGGTGGACAATTATTTGGGCCCGAGGGCCACATGGGCTGTTTTGGGCAGCTGTTGCAGGCTGGGTCAGTAGTGCCCCACTCCTGCCCCAGCACAACAACTCACCAAAACTCCCTGTGTGGTATGGTGCTCCAAGCAATGGTGTTCAGGAGCAGGAGGGGCAGGCAAGGTTGGGATCACAGGGAGGGGTCACAGGTTGGTGACTGTGTAGGGCTGGGGCTAGGTCAGAGCCATGATCCGCTCTCCTCATGCCCCTGTGACAGGTACACTTTCCATAGGGAGAGGCGTGCAGGGAGTGGATTGAAGCTCTGCCCTGTCCGGCCCCACATTGTCATAGCCGCATGATCTTGGGCCTTGACGCAGCTGCCTGCCTGCATGGCTCCCTGGAGCTGCATCTGGGGCTGAGGTCTTGGGGCAGTGACAGTGCAGGGCCTGGGCAGAGCTGGAAGCTACTGTAGGGCAGGAGCACCCACAAGGGAAAGAGGAGGGCTGCGAGCCCCATGGAGGAGGCTCAGGAGTAACTTAGCTTCCCTTCCCCCTCCCCTTATCCATCCTTTCCATCAGTCTGGGATACTCAACCTGCAGGCAAGGGAGGGAGGGGGTAGACCTGGCAGTGTCTCTATGCCCTGCCACTTGCAGTGGCCACAACCAGGCCTGGGTTGGGGGAGGCAGGCAGTGCTGGGGCACTCCCATCCTGTGTCAGCCCACTGCTTGCCCTGGGATGCTTGTGAAGTGGAGGCAGTCCCAGCCCCACAGGCTTGGCATGGGGTGGAGTGGCATGGAGCGGAGTGACGTGGGAGCAACAGCAGTAGCAGGAGTCAAGGGACCCACCGCAAGCCAGGCAAAATTACTCCATGGGCCGGATCTGGCCTCTGGGCCATATTTTGCTCACCCCTAGTCTACGTATATGTCTGCTTAGCTAGACTCACGCTCTTGGTCAGGACCTGCTTTTCCCCCTACTTCAGGTGTTTGGTTCATCTTTTAATCCAGCATAATTCCTGTTCTCCTGTTCACACAGTCTTGCTGTCTTCCTGACCCCTTTTGCACTGTCATGACAAAGTAAGGCTAGTGAGCTTAGTTAGGGGTAGAACATCAAACCAAATGGCTCTTGTACTGTACCTTGTGTCTTGGTAAATGGGTGGTTGTTTGAAGTTGTAGTATTTTTTCCTGCCTTTGCACAGAAAGCATCTTATTGAATTATTACCATATATTTGAATACAGTTGCGATAATAAAAGAGAGAGCATATAATATTCATAAAAAGTCACTAGCAACTCCAAGTCCATCACATTGTGAAACCAAGAAACAGCTTAATTGTAGCTGCAAAAATATTTTCTGAGTAATTTTTTATATTTGGATCAATCAGATCAAATTTAATGTGGGGCTTAATATTGGGCCCACACTAGATTGGGCCTTATCCCTGCTTGCAGGCTTGTTGTGGGTGCATGGGGGCTGGGCAGAGGCAGCACAGGGATGATCCAAGCACACATGGTCCAAAGGGAGGCAGTTGTGGGGCCCGATCTCAGATGGGGAGCTGAGGGAGGCAGCATGGGGCCTGATTTAGCTGTGAACCAACCTCATGCTACTCATCTAGCCCATAAGGCCCAAAAGTTGAGCACCACTGGTATAAAGCTATCAGTGCAAGGAAGCTGTTGGTTCCCACTCTCCCTTTCAATCTTGGTAATTCATTTTTCCCCTCATTTCCTTAAAAAAAAGTCCTTCTGCTTTTTAAAATGGCTTTCAAAGTCTGTCATGATAAATTTCACAAGTTATGCATCTCTCAGAGAACTGCATCCTGCAGATGGATGGCATTTGACATTTTAACTGGTAATACATAGCAGAGAACCTTATCAGGTGGGGAGCTGGAAGCAAGAGCTGTCTGAAGAGTGTGGGGAGTTTCATTTGAATATTTAATCAAAGGCACTGGTGCATTTATTACTGTGTGCAGTCTTTGAATATTAAGGGATCTCATCCTATGCTATGGAGGTTAGTGGGAGCTTTGACATTAACTCCGGTGTTCATACTGGTAAGATTTGGGTATGCAATACAGTTTGGTTTTAGAGAGGATTTTTTTTAGCCAAAATCATTACATTCAAATAAAAATACTAACATATAATTAAAATTGAAGTTCTACACACTCAGAAATCAGGAAATTCCCTCATATTGAAATCCTATGAAATTACTGCAGGTCCTTTTTATGACTTCACACCTAGCACAATCAAACCAGAAATACGCTTTGCTTTAGGGTTTTCTTCTCTGTAGAAGGAGCAGGGTATAGGTGCAGGACCTATGGGAACCATACTTTTGAATTTTGTAATATTTGATGGAGGTGAAAGACCTCTCATGATCTTATATTAACAATATTGGTTTTACTACATGATAAAGCATATTAGAATACTATTTAGTCATACACTCATCTCCTACAAATAATTCTTCCAGGGGACTATGTGCACAATTCTATGCAGGATGGGGCCAGAAACACTCAGTGGGATCATCTATACATGCTATTAATGTGTCTGAATAAAATCTGATGCAGTTTGTGCCGGAGTCAGCTGCTTCCCAGGTGCAGAATCTTCACATGCACCTGGGACCACAAAAATTTGAGCTGGGGTGGAGCAGCCCTGGGCTGGCAGGAGGCCTGTGGGGTCAACCCCAGGTTCTGGGTGATGGCGATGGGTGCTGGACAGGCTGGCTGTGGGACAAGGGTGCTACAGTGTGGAGCAAGCTGGCAGGCTGCCCCAACACTGTAGCAACCTCGGGCCTCAGCCAGCCCTAGTCATAGTCTACATCTGAGTGCATGTAATTACTCCACTGTAGGATAATACTTGTCCTGGACAGTACTATCCTACAATGGAAGTAACTAGTTTACTGCACCCTAATATGGGTGCACGTGTAGACTGTGTTGCTTTACTGTGGAGCTAATTCATCAACTCTGCAGAAAAGCTCACATGTAGATGCACCCAGTGTAAACAAATATACCTAACATGCATTTAGACCTATTTTCTCTGGGGGAAAAATGCAAATCACTGAATTAAAGTTTTTCTTTATTTGTTTTATTTTCCGTGGGTGTATAAATGATTCTGAAGACTTATTTTTGAAGAATTAATGCACATGACTTTCTACCCTAGTTAGAGTTTATAAAAAATGATCTGATACTTAAAACTCAAGTCAATACTGAGAGTTACTCTGATTCCCCAATACACAATTAATTCACAAGGTTATTTTAAATGTTCCTTTTATCAAGAGAAGCTATTCAGTAATACAGTTGGACCCCCAGTTACACAGTTTTGAGTTGCACTGATTCACGTATACACGCTTTATGTAACATGACCATGTTTCAACTTACACGATACCCTGCTTCACGTTTACACAGTTTGCGGTAGAGTGGTTGTTAGTTTGGAGTCTGCTTACATAATGTTAGCATCACTTGTCATCTCGTCCAAGATTGTCCATCCTTTTGCTTATGTTAACCCCTGAATATTTGTGAAAATGGCGTCAAAGAAAGCCTTTGATGTTGTGCCCAAAAGAGCACGTAAGTCTGTCATCCTGGCCCAGAAAATAGAAATCCTTGATAAATTAAGAGAAGGCAATAGTGCTGCGTTGATTGCTCACCAATACAGTTTAAGTGAATCAACTGTGTGTACCATTAAATAAAATGAAAAAAATTTAGAGACTGTGTGAAAACGACAACCCCTGTGAATTCAAGAGTGTCCTTGGTGACTAGTATTCCTCATTTAGATAAGGTTGGGAAACTCCTTAATCTTTGGATCAATGAAATGACCAATACAAAAGGAGCAGTTGTTGACGGTGTGGCAATTAGGGCTAAAGCTTTGTCTCTGTATGAGCACGTAGCCAGGAGTAAAGGTTTTAATAAGACTATTAATTCCATTATTCTGTGTTTCAATATCCTTTCATTATGAAATAATGTTATCAAATCTTGGTCCCAGGTCCCTATCCCCCTGTTTTCCATTGACTTAATGCCTCGAGTTACACGGTTTCAACTTACATGGAGTGTTTCAAGAACGTATCTCCCATGTAACTCGGGGTCTTACTGTATTTTTTTTCAGTAGAAAAGTGGTGTGTCCGATATTTTTCTTTAATTTATTGTATTTTTTTTCTTTTAGGACCAAGCAAAAGAAGCAACTGAAGATCCAGCAAATAGTAAGTGTGGGGGGGGGAAATGCTGCTAGGATTTTTGCTTCCCCCAGGGCTGGGTGGTAGCCGATGAAGGATTTTGAGGGTTTAATTTATAGTAGGGATCCCACAATGGCTGTCAAGCAAAACTTAATTTCCTTTATGGAGCTTCACCTCTATGTCAAGAATATTGACTGATAAGTCATTAATGGTATGATAGTTTCTGTACCATTTTATAGAAGGAAAGTCCATCCGAGTCCAACAGCATATTGGACTCTTGTGGTTAAGACACAGCAGTTTTTTGTGCCAGCAACACACAAGCTAGAGCAAGCCACCTTTGACTAGGTACCCATTTATGGACATGTTGCTTGTGGGGGTAGCCTTTGGCATGAGTCTATAGCAGGGCGTGAACTCATGAATCTGGGGCTATAGAAAGACTCCTTAATCATTCTGCTGCACCACTTGCATTTTACTAAATTACTGTGTTTTTGAATGCTGCCTCAGTAAGCATGTTACTGTACTTGAGTACCTTTGCAAAGAGTATACTAGCTTAAAGAAGTACTTGAAATATAAACATCAAGCTGGTTATGGACTCTGTGGCTTCGGACACTGGCATTGAACTGCCTTCTGTAGAACTGTTTTTCGTATAGATAATACATGAACGTGTAACTAACATGTAAATTGTTTTACTCCAGGTGGAATACCACAGCTTGTGAAACCTAGAGGAGTTGTAGATCTGAGCAGTAAGTTATATTGATTTAAATGCTTCCTCTGAGATCTACTCGATATTGTTATGGCCTTAGGCTTAATTCAATAAGCAGACTTGATCTGTGTGTGCAATCTGGTCCATACTGACATCAGTCTGATATAAATGTATGTCAGTTTGAAAGTGCATATTAATAATATTTATTTTTGAAGCACCTTATTATATCCATAGGAGTCCTTCGGAGATGATCCTGATGATGAAATATGTTAAGTCATGTTAAGATAAACCTGTATTTAAGAGCTTCCTCTTCCACAAACAAAAAGCCCTAATATAATTTTAATATGATTATAATCTATGTTTCCCAGTTTTACGCTATTTACTTTTAGTAAAAAAAAAGGCATTTTCCTTTTAAAGGACAAGGGCAGTTGTGATTTCTGTTTAATTCTGTGTTTCATGAAGCATTTTTTCTGTATTGAAGAGTTGTTTGAAATCGGTGAAAAGCCAAATAAAACAGAGGACACTGAAGAAACTTCAGTCTTAAGAGAGGAAGGAGAGAAGAAGGCTATAGTAGCAGAGGAAGAATTATCATTTGGGAAAGTAAATACCTTTATTTTTAATAATGAAAAGGTTAAATTGGAAAATATGACAAAATAATTTTGCTCATCTTACTTGTATTTGTTTGATAATGGCTGTAAATACTTTGGGACTTTTTATAATGTATTTGTACCTGTCTACACAGTGGTATCCCAGTCCCTCATTATGTGCTACTGCAACAACAAACAAACAAAACAATTATAACAACAATAATGCAGAGAAGAAGTCTAACTAAATGGACATGAGATTTACATAAAATTGTTCATACCAGAATTTTATAACTGTTTGGAGTACGCACCATTTTTCTGTAGTTTTAATAGATATTTTGAGATTGACATATTAATTCTAGTTTCTTTGGCTTTGGTGTGATGTGCCTCTCAGACTCAGGTAAGTACTGAGTCTAAAAGAGCTGTGGTGAAAAAAAGATGGAGGAGTCTAGAATGGTATAAACAAATACCTTGGGGTAGAGTAAGAAGGAGAAAGCTTGGAAATTGAAAGTCCTATTAATTCCAAAGGCTGCTCTCAGAGGCAAGTTGTAGGGGTATAATGAGCCTGGAAGAAAGAACAGGCTTTTCTGGAAGAGTAAGTCTGAAAACTAATCACAGTAACAATGTAACTGGCATTAGTGAAGTATGAAAAAGCTGAGATCAGGCTGTTGCCACAGGAATTAGCAGGCAGAGTTTGGATTCAGTTACTATGTCAGAGAAGGAAATGTTTAATATTCAATGAGATGCAAGATCTGAAACTTAATCTAGTTCTTATGCACAAATAACGTGTTCTCCAACTCCTGTTTAACAGAGATACTTGTAGGTGAATGGTTCTATCGTTGTCAGTGAACAAGATGTTCAGATGCTTCTGTTCGATGTTCTTCATAATATTCTGTGTGACAAGTAGTAAAAGTTCATATTTTTGCAGGCCACTGTAAATTCCTCAGAAGCACCTGCCTTGCAAGGAGATGATTCTGATGTAACAAAAGATGTCAGTGAAGAAACAAAGCCTCTGGTTTCTTAGATCGAATCATTGAAGGTATGTAGTATGGGCTAACAAACCTCCATTTCTGTTTAATTAGAAGAGTTTGATTTAGGAATCCTACATTTCCTCAGTTACTAAGCAAGAAAATAAAGAAGTGCCACTTGCCGTATTTCCCTTCCCTCACATAGGAAATACTTGCTTCCTAACTGTTAGATCCTTAAATTTGTAGCCCTTCCAATTGAAGGAATTCATTATGTTGCTTCAGTTGAGTCAGTAATCTTATTACACTTCATCTCATGGATTTGGGAAGTAGCTACAGTCTTGAGTAACTGTGAGATACGAGCAACTTGGAGGAAGTCAGAAAGTGGTTGTGGTAGTCTTGTTGGCTGGAGCCATCTTGGACATAGGCAGGCAAGATTCTTTGCATAAATGTGATATCTTTTATTAGACCAACTAAATAGCTGGAAAAAGTTCTTTGCAAGCTTTCAGGCACAAACACCCTTCACTGGGCATAGGGAGTTATGTGTTTTCCAAGGTAGAAAAGAACCTAATTTACAACAAGCAAGTCTGTGCAAATGCAAATGAGTGGAAGTTTGGAAGACAATGGTGGGGGGTGAGGGGTAGTAAAACACTGTGGCAGGTTACCTTGAGAGGCTGTGGAATTTGCATCCTTGGAGATTAAGATCCGACTAGACAAAGCCTTGGCTGGGATGATCTGGTTGTGGAAGGTCCTGATTTGAGCAGGGGTTGGACTAGATGACTTCCTGAGGTCCCTTCCAACCCTAATTTTCTATGGCTCTATGAGGTAGGAGGGGAGGGGAGGAAGGGAGGGAAATGTGTGAAGAGATGCAAGTCACATTGGATTTATGATACATTACAACCTGCCTGACATCTGATATCCCAGGTAACCTGCCTCCGCTGACCACTTGCATTCCTTCACACATTTACCCCCCTCCCCCTCTCTCCTGTCTCCACCCATTGTCTTCCTAACTTCCATTCATTTGCATTTTCACAGACCTGCTTGTTGTAAATTAGTTTCTTTTCTACCTTGGAGAACACACAACACTAGCAGTGTCTTCCTATACCTGATGAAGGGTGTTTGTGTCTGAAACCTTGCAAAGAACATTTTTCCAACTATTTAGTTGGTCTAATAAAAGATATCATATCTACCCAAATAACCTTGCCTACTGTTGTGGTAGTCTTGGATGGGACAAACAGGAAACTAGGGCTAAAGAGACATGATGAAAGGATATTCTGTAAGGATATAATTGCTAGGAGCATAAGTACATAAACTAAAATGTATTAACACAGAAGTTGGATAATGCAGTCAGTTTAAAATAACAGTTGTAAGCAACTGAAATATTACTGAGATGTTAATGATAGTATCAGCTACCTCCAACTAAACTCAATGATGCAGTTAATAGCAAAGTTTCATCCAGGAATCTTGTTACTTACATGACTCATTTTTAAACTTTTTTGTAACAGTTTGCATCCCATAATGGAGAAGAGCCATCTGTGAAAGCAGTAGAAGACAAAAGAATAAACATCTGGAACAATCAAAATCCTCATTTTCACTCAAATATTGGGATAATGAACTTGAAATGTCAGGGATTCTATGACTTGTTATGAATTTACTAAGTTTTATAGGTGTCTCTCTCCAGGAATTTTGGCAAAAAATGCAGAAAACGTATGTCACATAGGGCAGGGAAAATTTATTTTGATTATTACAATAATGGATGGTGGTTTCAGATGAGATTGTGGAATCCCATTGTGCTAAGCACTTTATAAACACAGTGACAGTTTCTGTCCAAAAAGAGGCCACAGCTTATGAGCATCATCCTGAAGACACTTAGGACATGTATAGAGAAGCATTTGTAACACAAAAAATTTGTAATACTACATTACTTTGCAATGCTCACACCTGCGTCCTCTCTCCTTTCTCTTATACCTTATTCTTCAGTGGAGTTCATATACCTCCTGAGATAGCAGTGTAGGATGGCATTAGCATCTTCATAGATGGTGATATTAAAGACTTCATGGTCATGGAGAACCAAATAAAGGTCAGCCTAGCCAATCCAGAAGATAGCACATCCCTGAGAGATTCTTTTTAGGTTGGTCCATTTTCCCTTTGGGTATTATACCTGGCCACATCTGATTGTCACTATGTTACTGTAGCACAAATCTGGGATTTTTGGAACAAAGAGATGTGACAGTAGATTCCATACTAATTGTTTCCTATAACATATACTCTGATCTAATGCATCAACCGCATGGTATAGAACTGTATTGTTCAGGATCACTATGGGCACAATAATCTAAAAACACAGAAGAGTAAAAACCATAGACAAAGGGTCTACCTATTGATTAACACTAAGTGTGTGTCTACATGAGTATGGATGTTTGGTTCCCTGGGGACAACTAGCAGTGGTGTGGTGCTGGCCCCAGCAGCCTTACCTGTGGTCCTGGGGCTGCAGCAGCAGTGATCCTGCCGGTTGGAGTCTGGTCAGCAGCTGGAGTGTGCCTCTGGCCAGCCAGGCTCCTGTTTTAAGCAACACATGCTCCCCCTGCAGGGCCACTCTGTTTTATAGTGTGGGGTTTTTTTTTTAACCTCTGGATATCCAGGGGCCAAAACCTCCCCCTGCGCTGCTCCCTTACAGCACAGAGAACAGCTGAATGCAGACTTGTCTGCAGTGCCACATACTGCATGGCTGTCCTTGTCTGAGTACAGCCTAAGGGTGCAGACGGAAGAGCAGCTCCCTGCTGTAACTCACAGTGCCTCGCATGCAGTGAGGGTTCTGATTTTTGCGGAACTGGGCCCTTTTAAAGCATTTTACAGTCATGGCTACACTTCATGACTACAGCTGTGGTCATGGCTACGGAGCACTTCAAGGGGCCAGACTGGACGAAAATGTTCTCTTCTGTCTGTGCCTAAAATCAGTTAACCTGCTCCAAAATTAAGTTGGTGTACAGGAATGTCAACCACTGGGTGGCAGTATAGCTGTTTTCTCCTCTTCAGGATGTATGTTATTCTCTGTTAAGTTTGTGGGACATATTTTGTTGCAGCATTTGAGTCTGTTTAGTTCTGTGGAATCATAATAAACAGGTATCCTGTATGATGTATTGTTGACTTCCTATTCACAAATCATGAAGAATCAGGTTGATTTTGTGGGGTAGCAAGTTAAACCTAGATGCTATTAAGTAATATGTAATTAGCTTCCTAAACCTAGGTGTTTTGTACAGTTAATTGTACCTTTAACATTCCAGATGGGATTTTCAAGAGCTGAAGGGAGCAAGGCATGCCATTTTCACTAAATTCCTTCTTTATCATCCTTGCTATCATCCATTTCTGATTGACTTCTCAGCATTGCTGCCTCCTACTCCAATTCCCTTCATGTTATCTTGCAACTTCATTAATATTTTAGACAGTATATGAAACTGATGCCAAATATTTCCTTTCTTTCATATTGCTAAAAGTATTCATGTCACTCGCAGATTCTGGATTATCTAAGCATGTTCTATCAATCACTAGCATGTGTATTTCATGTCCAATACATCTTCTGTTGTCAATAACAAATTATGAATAAAAATTGCTGAGTAAATTACCTGAACCCACCATTTTTTGTGGATAAAAAGGGTAGTGCTTTCACAGATCTGTTTCTGTAACCTCAAATTGTCCTTTGTTAGTGAGAATATCTGTGTGTCCCTTCTAGGTATTTATGCCGGGTGATTAAATGTGAGTTTGATGTTGCATAAATCCTTTGATTAGAAATCAGTCTGGTTTAGCAGATTAATAGCTGCACAGAGGCATGTAACAAGATAGAGAACCTTTATATGGTAAACATTATTTTTTATGAGACGGCAATTTCTAGCAGGAGTTAACGAATTCAGTGCATGTCCTGGGTGAGGTCAGACTCTCTGGCCTGATGTGAACTTTATGTACTTTTGAATGAAATATAATTAGCTTTGCCAATGCAAATGAAGAAAGTATTTCAAATGGTTCACATTGCAAGGAGCATTGAAACAAGGCGTGTCTTTGTCCTCTCACAATGTAAGTTTCAAACTCAGACGAGACCACTATGTCATCTAGTGTTACCCCTGTCTATCACTGGGCATGTCTACATGTGCATTAATGTGCCGTAGGTACTGTGCATTTATTTCAGTACCTGTAATAACAGGTGCTAACTGAATGTGCAGTAACCAGCACTATTGTGCAGTAATACCACTGCATACCTTTTTAGTGATGCTAATGCTCAGTAGACTAATTTTACTGCTCATTAGTGCAATAGCATGGCTTTTGCTGTGTCCTGCTAATGCACAGTAGAATTGATCTACTGTGCATTTAGTGTCTCGTGTAGACATGCCCACTGAGAACTATATTTCACCCTATTCCCCCCCTGCCTTAAACCCAGTAGTTTAAGTTTGTTGACCACCTAGTCTTGCTTTGAAGACTGTATGTATATTAGTGTATTTCTGGTTCCAAGACTTGCTTCTCTATCGCTGTCATTGTACTCATATATGTGACTGGAAAACGGTAAACAAAAATATGTTGTTTGCCACAGGCCCTTGGGCTTGAAGTACTGGGATGTCAAATATCATCAATAAACATGTTAGAATATATTAATCTGCTTTGATAGACAGCTGGTAAATAATGCTTTGTCTTAAAAAAAGCTGATAATAGAAGCTTTCTTTTGGGAAATCATGTAAGACCCTTGAAGCACAGTTCTGTTTCTGGGGGTAATGATTACATTAATCCCATTGCTGTCTCTGTTTTTCTAAGTATCAGCCCTTTGATTGTTTGTGATAGCTTGTAATCAGAGGTATAGCCTGCAAGCTATCACAAACAATTAAAGAGGTATAGCCTGCAGGCCCATGCAGCCTCAGGCTGTTCTGCTGAGAGATTTCATTAGATAAACAGTGTGAGGTCTGGGCAGTATTAGAATGGAGAAATGACCAAGAAAATGTGCTCCAGGACATGAGGATGGGGAATCAGTTGTGGTACTTTTTTTCTCTCACTTTTTTCAGTGATACCATATAGAACCAATGCTCCAAAATAAGTGCAGGGACACTGTCCAACTAAAAATGCCAGTTCTGGATTTGGGATTAAGTATAAAATAGAAGCCTGCAAGATATGTGGTCCATTAAAGACAGAATCTTTTCCAAAGGCACAGATTTACCACTTGCAGTTTTCTGGCCACATTTCAAATTGCAAGGTAATATTTTTTTTTGGTTTTTTAAACTCCCCAGTATTTGAAACTGGGTAACAACTTGGCCTTTTCACTTTTTCCCCCCTGCCTGTAATGCAGTGTCTGTTAAATAGAAGTCCTGTATTTCATGTCAGAGAGGGCTGTGTTTTAATGAAGAGTGTGGTATGCCATGTTTCAGAAAATAAAACAGATCCTTTAGTACCACTGTGCATTCATCATGGAGTCCAGGGAAGAGGCATGGAAGCTTTAGCTGAGGGCAGAGTATGGCTAAAGTCTAATTGCTAAAGAGATAATTGCGAGAAAATTCACATACCTTTTTCCAGAAAAAGGGAGATCACCTACCTCAGAGATGCCCAGGTTGCTGTGTGATGACTATCTATGCATAATCATTTTCTGTGTTTTGCTTTCAGAATTAATCTTTTTTGTTTTCTTGCCTGAACTTTGGTGATAGCTAATATAGACTTTAGCATATGATACAGAGAAAAGCTGGGAAATGGGGGGTTGGGGTGTGTTGCACTGTTCAGATGCAATTTTAAAATGCAGGTCCTTTGTTGTTATAGAAATATTTTACTAATCCGGCCAGGAACCTGAACTAGACAGAAAATCTTCTTGGAGTCTCTTCATAATCTGCCTGGAATTCCTTGTTTTTTGTTTCAGTTAGGCTCAGGATGGTTTCTCACCATGCTGGTATGGGGTATTACATGAGTAATGAAAAGTTCCCCTGGCTCCATTCAGGACAAGTGCCAGCCCAACTCTACCCTGTGTGTCCTGCCAATCTTTGTCTTTTCAGTGGTCTGCATGGACCCAATCCAGCATTTATTCATGTGAAAAGAAGTCTTTCAACTGAGCTCCGTGGACACTGGATCAAACCTATAAGAATATTTGGGAGGTCCCATGTGTTTGTTTTTTCTGGTGTTACAAGCTGTAGGATATTTTTGACCCAGCTTGTTGAAATATTGAGAGAGAAAGCAAAGTTTTATTTAGGGTACTACACAGGCTATATTGTTTTTAATTCTTTCTTCCTTTCTTCTCACTACCCTCCAAAGTCTGAATTAGAAACTTAACCATTTGTGTCCTGTCAATTTTTTGCTGTGATCATCTGCACATCTTTCTGCTATGCATCTCATATATTTGTAGCCCAGGTAACTCAGGTATATACTCCCCTTCTCCAAGGGGATTGTTAGCTGGCAGGTGTGCTGTGGGGTGGGAACTGCAGACCGCTCAGTTCCCCTCCGTCCCTGCAGAACCAGGTCAGGACAGTCAGGGGACTTAACTATATACACATTTATTTACATTAACTTATCACAAGGGAAAGGAACATGGATACATCTACATCTACATCTACATTGCGCTGGTGTAAGGTTTTATAGTATTTACCCAGAGGGTATTGTTTATGTTATGTTATTTGTTTAGATATGCGCTATATATATGTGTATATATATATATATATCCAACAGATAAACTATAGGTAAGTATGCGTGAACAATAAATAAGCCACAAATAAATACAAATAAACAACAGGTGAAGTAATAGCAACAGGGGGTCCCAGCAGAGCCCTAGGACTCTACTCATGTACTCATTTACAAACATGAGAGTTCACAAAATATAAGGCATGACATCACACCACTTACGGCACAAGAACCCCAAAGATAAACTCAATCCCAAGGGGAAAGCCCAATGCCCTTGAGCTTTTCCCAAGCCCTACAAAGAAGCTGGTAACTTTAGGGGGCCCTCTCAGTGGGACCTCCCCTTTCAGGAGCCCTTAACTTACCAGGGGGACTCCCTTTCCCTGTGGGAATCCTCTTTTCCCTGCAACTCATGGCTCCCAGGCCTAGATGGTGGCCCTTGTCCTCTGCACCAGGCTGCTCTCTCACCTGCAGTGGGTTTTTTTAAGGGGGGGGGTTGCTGTCCCCTGGAACAGGGCTCTGCTATGTGGGGCTTCTGGGGCCTCTGGCTCAGCCCCGTCTGTTGGCTCAGTAGTCCGATCACCATCTGGCTCTCTGGACTCAAACTTTTGCTATGGGTTGGAGGCCTGGGCTGCAGATGATGGTAGATGTTGTGGAGTGGGTGGGCTGCTCTTGATGACAGATGCTTGTTTTTAATATCCTTGAATGTGTTGATTCTCAAAGTCAGTTATACTAGCATCTGGGGGAGGGGGAGGTCTGGCTCCCTACCGCCGCAGGCACTCCCAAGGGGCAGGGGGGACCTGCGCCCCTCAGATCT